GGCTTTAGATGAAACCTGTCAGTGGTACTGTGGCACAAAGGGAGAGGCTGTGTTTGAGCTAGACTGGTTCTGAGTAATATAAAAGCTTTAAGATCAAATTCCACTTGATGAACAATAAGCATCTACATCACCTTGCAGAGTACTGATTCTGTCCTATAACTGAAACGTAGCCTTTAATAAGTGAACTGAAATATCTTCAACAGATTAAATGATTTGGCCAATATAAGTTGCCTTGCATTTGTCTAATACAGTGACAACATGTGTTGTCAAAATAACACAGTGAATCTGAAATAAATAGTTACGCTGCCTTTGTGACACAATTTTTTTAAAAAGTTACTTTCTGCCTCCTGCCACAGTAAAACCACGTTAGAAACAGGACTAAACCTGCTGGGAGCAGGTATTGTTTCATCTTCGCACTTTTGGAGTTGTAATGAAAACATAGTGATTTTCTTTTTTCAAATCAAAATTCTGTTTCCAAGAAACACAGTCTACAGTTGGTAAAAGCAACAAATTAGCTGAAATTTTCCAGATTTTAGCTAGAACCTCCTCTGTTCCCTCAAATTTTAGGACAGCCAATTCTTCATGCTGATGTTTTGGAAACAGAATGGTTTTAGATTTCATTTAACAATGATGTTAGGACTTCAGAAGTAGAGAATTCTGGGTTTCAACAGCTAAGACAGACAAAGGTAGTTTCAGTAATGACACTCTTATTTTTGAGACTCATTTTAGGAACCCTTAAAGACATACTTTTAATTATTGGCATTAATTTTAATATTGTATGGAAAAGACAGAACTTGGCTTCATGTTTGTCAAATAATTAGTTCTAGCCATTCTTAAAAGTTGTGTTGGATGTCCCACCATCTATGTCATTAAAAAAAATAAAGCAAAATTCTCAAATTATGTTGTAGCCAGAATCCAAAAATGTAATTTAATCCTGTATGTTGGATGCGTAGTCAATATAGTATGCATTAGTCCAAAGATCAAGTGAATCTATAAATTTCATCACGACTGAATGTGACTTTAAATGGCTCTTCATTTTAATGTTATGTCCTCCAAAAGTAATATAAACAGGTATCAACCTTTTCAAACGGTATAATTAAATTACACTCTGAGCAGTTGTTCTCGATTTACTTTAGCCTTGAAGTTTGTTAATTTGTATTCAGGGATAATAAAGGATTTTTATATGTGAAAGCCTGACTATTTTTCCCAGCCACATCAAGTAGCCAAATGAAAACCACTGCTTTTTTGACAAAGCCTTGCTTTTTAACATTAGGTAAATAGTGCTTCACTGTGAAAATTGGAGAGCCTTGCAAAAATAAGAAATAATATAAATGGCTGGTGGTTTATATTTCTAAATAGAAGTCAGGATTCATTTCCAGTTTGAGTGAGGGAAACATAGACTGGTTTCTATGGGTTTAGCCATTGTTAAAATCCTGTATGGAGGTGGAAGAGGAATGTTTGTATGTATTAACACTCAGGCTTAAAAAAAGTTATTATGAAATTAAAAATCTATATTTTACCTTCCCACTTCACTGCACAACTTCTCAATCACTAAATGTTCTCGCAGTTTGAAATCAGACTGCCTGTTCTGCATTTTGGCAGCTTGACTATTTTTTTTTCCAGACAGTTGAAACTGATTTCTTTTTATAGAGGCGAACTCTGAAGAATGGCACAACTACAGCTTGCTACTTTGCAACAATTTACACAGATACTTCTCTTCTTCTTGCTGAAATTATAGGTAAGACTAACAGTGAGTTTTGAAGGATGTTGTGTGGAAGTTGAAGGAAATGGAGCTTAGGAGTTTTAGATTAGCGAAGGATCTGTCTTTCTACTAATTTGCTTTTTATTCATTGCATCTGTCGTAGTGTGCCCCTCAAAATTCACCCTTGTTACCCTTGTTGACTTAACTGCCTCTCTCCTACTATTGTTTCTGCTAGTCTCTTCATTCCCAAATTGGCTGCTGGCTGAGCTTGAATTACATCTGCTGGAGTTGCTCTTCAGCTGCTGTCCTCTGCTTTTTCTAGCCTTTTGCTATTTGAGGATTAAAGGGCTGAATGACAAGAGGTGCGGTCAGTGCATTAATTTCCTGATATTCCGAAGTTACAGTTAAGAATCATCAAAAATCTCCACACGCCCTCTGAAACCTGAACAGTGGGGGTTGTGTCAGGATCTTATCGCTCCCTTCTGTTCACCGTTGCAAATGCCTGCTTTTGAGAGTGTTGTGATTCTTGCAGGGTTATCTCAGGGCTCAGCTAGCTCCCAAAGCAGAGCAACTTAATGAGAATCTCAGTTTCCATCAAAAATTCCCTAGTCTTTCTGATTTTGTAGGAAAACCTAAAACTTTGAAGCCATTGTATTCAACAACTTGGACAGTAAAAGTGGACAAAAGAGATATAATTTAGAAACGCATTTAAAAGCTTAGAATTTAATATTATATGCATTCCTTTAAAGTCTTACACATGAGTTCTGAGTCCTAGCATGGATAAATCTCAAGAAGGACGCTAGAAGTAGCTCTGGTAATTTTCTCCACCCAGCTGCACGTGGGAGGCGTGTTAGGAACCTCATCCCTTTCTCTTAAGGAGAGATGCTTAGCTGAGATCTTTGTGCCTTTTCTCAGCTCAGGGTAATCATCTACTACAGCTAGTCTACTCTGATGCTTGTGCTTCTCATCCTCTACTTCACAGCGGTCTTCTTTGTATACTACCATTATGAATTCTGGTTGTGGTTAAACTACAGTAATCTAGTCCTCAATTATAATGTTTATAAAAGTAGGTACTAATGTGGAAGAGGAGAACTCCTATTTAAATGTTGTGGGTTTTTTCTCTCTCTTTTTTTATCCTTAAAAGTCACGTGGATGGTCTGAACTTACAGATAAGAAAAGAGCATAAGTTCTGTTCATCTTAAATGAAGCTGGCTGAGGTGGAATTTGCTATTTTTATTTCAGCACAGGCTTTGATAGCAGTTTTTGAGAGCCAGTGATTCTGAGTTTTATATTCTTATGCATCTCAACAGATAAATTTGGTCAACGAGCATTTGTTGGAAAAGTCTGCATGGATATGAATGACAGTGTGCCACACTACAAAGAGATTACTGCTGACTCTGTCCAAGAGACAGAAAGGTAAGGTGATTAAATTGGTGGCACAACCTCTAGAAATAAGACTTTTTCTTACATCTGAAAAGTGAACGTGAAACTGACTAAGAGCTTACAGGTGCAGATTTGTTAGGAACAGGTTTTTTTTCTTCTGACAGCATTGTTTTCTACAGTTCTGGCAATTCCAGCATGCCCAGTTGCTGCACAGCCCAAGCAGTTTCTCTCCAGCTCTTCCAAAGAAAGGGAGAAGCTACAGCTCTAGTGTTTGGAGAGAATATGTGTATGTTGTTGTCTGTTTTCGGCCTGCTCTTTTTCCTTCACAGCTCTGTATGTGGAGGTGATGTGACCTGACATGGGATGATGGAGTGGCAATCAGTTCCTTTGCCCCCATTAACTTCTGAGCTATTTCCCTTCCCCATTGAGGATAAAGCTTTATTCAAGTTGTAGGAGTCAGCTTTCATATACCCCATTTTAAACATGCTGTGGTTCTCCCCTCCAGCGTAGCACCAGTGAAATTACTCTAGTGTGCAGCTGAGAGAATGAAATTAAGGCAACGCACGTGGTGGAGGGGGACCCAAGACTGGAATATGGCAGCCTGCTGTCTTAGGTTTTCCTTGTCTTTTGCATCCATGCTTGGAAAATGCTTAAGCAGACATACAGGTTTTCTCCTGGGACTATTTATTTGCTTGTATAAATGTTTCAAATATCCTTCTGAAAAGGAAAATACATAACAGTAATATAAACATCTTCTGGCACTCGTGTGAAATCGCTACCTTATTTTTGCAAATCATGCTAGAAGAATGCCAGTAAAAGTTAGAAATGGTCATGGACGATGTTTATATTTAAAGACATTTTTAAAACATGTAGTATTACGGATTTGCACTCTACTAACATCTGTTTTCCTTCATGTAAATCCCCAGTTTTCATAATACAGAGTGAGTCCTTTTGAGTGTTCCTGGAAGCAGCAGAACTTCCACTTCTGATATTTTTTAAAGCTTCAGAATGATCTATATAGCTTTCTTTTAAATACCTGTCTTACTTCTCTAGCTCCCTTCTCATGGACTGTGGTAATAACAAAAGTGTCTCAGCTTGAATGGACATGTGGCACAAGTACCCCAGAGCTGTCTAGAGAAGAGAGCTGGGTGCTTGTCGGCATGGATCAGGAGTACTTACCTCATCAGGGCTGGACTGCAGCAATCTTCTTTCTTCCAATGTATTACACTGATTTCTGTTCTTTACAGTTAACCTCTGGGAATATTTGTATTGTATGCTTGGAAATAATATGCAATTCCAAGTGCTTCTTATATTAAATCTAAATTCAAGTCAAGAATTTGAATCTACCTTTTTCCTGCAAAGAGGATCAAATAAAAATTTAGGGAATTGAAATCTAGAATACGTTATATGCTGCTAATAGTTGTAGTCATCTGGAAAGAGGAGGACCCATGCTCAAATCTGCTCTCCTGCTACAGAAGACAGTGGTTTGAACCTGACCACCTTTCCACATAGAGAAACACATAAGCAAACAAAGTATAGGGTATTTTGAGAAAGGTATTTCAGTTCTGAAATGCTGACACTGTTCAAAGAATGTGAAAAAGAATGAGAACAGCCATCTGGGGGTTTTGGATTGTCACCTGAGAGTTATACCTGTGTTACAGTTTCTGCTGTAATAATAGTATTTTATTACTATACCAGGTGAATCAGTAAGAGAAGAGACAGGCAGACAATACGTAATTCACATTCCATTTTGGCTCTCAAAGTTAGACAATGGTGGGCTCAAACTCCTTCGGTCATTGCGGAAGCTTAGCTTGGGTCTCTTGCTTCCACCTGGTGATCTAGCACTGGCCTCAGCGTTGTGAATCTAGCATTATTTGCTTTTCCGTATGAAGACATTTGGCAAATTTGATTCAATGTTTGTTGTGACCAAAATTACAGTTTTTTTCTGAACGTAAACTATGACACAGAAATTCACACAGATCCTGTCCAGAACCCATTGCAAACTGGCTTTTGGAAATTATTTGCATACTCTGTGCATATGGGTTTTCAAAAAATGTCTTCCCTGCAAAGTCAGAGGAAGTTTTATTTGCTCATCTGCATGATCCATATTGACTGCTTGGGGTTTTTAGTAGAGGTCCCTGAGGCAGCTTCTTTTATTTAACAAAGTAAGTAAATCTATACTGCATTTTCCATAAGGAGTGTAATCTCTGCTCTAACATTAACATAAACATTTCCAGAAAATCAAGGGTCCTTTAAATGAATGAGGACATATGCAACTACTATAAGTGAAGTATAGAATATTGCAGCATCTTTTAAAAAATGGGATTTTAAATCATAGAATATATTTAATGCTGTAATTTAAATTAATGGACAAATTTAAGTGTTCTTTTTTTTCTCTAATATTGCAGCTGTAGCTTATAATTATGTTTTCAATTCATTTAATGTAACATGGATTTGGTTTTTGGTGAGAACTCAGAGTAATTACCATGTGTCTAATGTTAATTATTGCAAATGAAAAAAATTCTGCATATTCAGGGTCAAATTCACAACTAGCATAATTTGGTGTAAGTATCCTGACTTCACTGTGTTGCTTCTTTTTATTTCACCTGAGAATCTGGCCCAACTTTCTGTAAAAAATTGATCTATGTCTGAAATGCTTAATGGGGTATCTAAGTAAATATTTTCTGTATTTTTCATCATTTAAAGCACAGGTGACAGATTTATGACAGATTTTTTTCTACCCTTTTCCAGGTTTGTTAAAGAACTACTGGAAAAGAAAGTAAGTAGAGTTCTCCTTTGCATTCACTTTTGTATTCAGAAGATGCTGTGTGAATATATGAAATAGTTAATCCCGCTGACAAACTCTTGTGGCTTAGTGACAAATCAAGAAATATATGTCTTTCTGTGTAGTAGGCAGATATCATCAGTCTGAAAAATGCTCTGCTAGCCATGTTGTTGAGAAGTGGAACTTGTAGCAGTGTAAATTCAGTTTTGTGTGGTCAGAGCACAGCAGAGTAATGTTCTGTGTGTGTTCTCTATTGACTTTAAAATATTCAGCTTCCTAGAAAGGACAATTTTTTGTTAAAGAAAGGTGGAATTCAGTTGATCGCTCTGTGGCATACATATATACAGACTAGTAAAAGAAGTTCTCACCAGCAGAAATCAGTGTTTTTTACAATACAGTTACAAATCCATTACTGAATTGATATCTTGCACATGTCTTCCAGTGTGTTTCTAAAGAAATTCAGGTTTGCACTCCTGAGGTAAAGATAGAGATTTACACTCCAATATTACAAGCCACGATGCTTTTCTTTTCAGCCTTTTGTTTTCAATGGCTTAATTTGTCAATGCTTGTATCTCAAAATATTCAAGAACAGATGCCTAACGTTTAATGCCTACATCATATGTATTAGTGGAGTAAGTCAGCTAATCTGTAGAAGTCCTGGGACCCTTGTTATCTGGGAGGTGGTATAAGAAACTGCAAACCGAGTTATGATACACTGTCTTCTGGTGGTGCCACATGAACAACTATTGCCTGTGACTGAAGTCAGAGCTGTAATGCCACTGCCTATTTTTTATGAAAATTTTAATCCAGAAGCGCAAGGTGTAAAGTAAACACTGGTAGCTCTAGTCTTGGTGTCTTCTCCATTGCTTCTTACTGCGTAGCCTATCTGCTGCCACCACTAATCTTCCTGTCTAGGGAGTATAAAGACAGTGTGTTGCTATCATGAGTGGAGAAGCTCAAACAAGAAAAAGGCATTGGTTTTATGGAACTGTGCAGTTTTGCATCATTACATCTTTGATGTTCACTGAAGAAGGACTCAGAAAAATGTCTGGTTGTTCATCTGACTTCTTGTAATGCATACGGGACTGTCAGCAAATTTGGAAAAGCATCCAGTGCTTCTCGGGAAGTCTGGTAAAATCCCAGAGACTTGATTGAAGAGTTCTAATGAAAATAACTTCTTTACTAAGGTTCATTGAAGCTGTTTTCAGAGTAAACTTTGATTCTCTATTTTTGTGGTGAAATTTCTAATAAAAATAAGGAAATTACTATACAGCTTAATTTGAGTTGGCAAGGATGCAGTAAGCAATAAACGATGGAGACAAAATGCAATTACTGTGTAAATGGTTGTCTTAATTATGGTTACTGATGTATAGATGTAGAATCCCAAGCATGCCTTTTTAATATTTTCAGTATCCAAGGGTACAGCCTGTAATAACCCCCCGCTTTGGACCTTCCTGCACAGAGGACTTGCTGTGTGCACTTGGCGATTTAGCACAGGCTCGTGATCTCCACGTGCAGGTAAGCTCTGGGAGATCTGTGTGTGATTTAAATAGTTTGGATAGATAGCATACAGACCAGGGAGTTTTCATAATTTCAGCAAAACAATTAAACTACATTCTTACCTCAGAGCCTGTCTTTTAAATTCCTCTGAAATTATTAATGGTACTCTGTAAGAGCACTGTGACCTGCACAGGAAATGAGAAGGCTCATAGCTGGAAGGATGCACAATTCGGCAACCCCAGCCATGGTCACTAGGAGACCGGCACCCAATATTGTAGGTTAGAGCAACCCTTGGTTTTGCGGAAGGTTGCTCTCCCTAGTCCAAGGTTGTTACGTCTGTCTTCCACTATTTCTGTACAGAGCAGATTTCGGTAGATTCAGAAGTAGATTCAATAGATTCAGAAGAATTTCTCATCATTGCATCTTATTTAACATTGTTAACGTAGCTGTAGGAGTTGCAGTGTGATGGAGTTTCTGTGTTTAAAAAAGACATACTTTAAAGCTTACAGGTCTGTCAAAACTTTGAAATGTTTCTTTTTTGTTTACAGGGTTCTAAACATTTCCTGTTTTAAAGCTATCCTACGTTAGGATTTTTTGTCATTATGAAGTGGGCATTTTGAGAATATATGCTCCAGTGGGAGTACAGGAGCATCAGATTTTTATCTGAGACCAGGAATTAGTCAGCCCATCCAAAGATACCTGGAGCCAGTAGGTTGCTCAGAAGGTTGAAATGTCATGTTTAATGCTATTTGAAGGACTCATTGCTGTATGTTTCCTTGTTGCAGAGTCACATAAGTGAGAATGAAGAAGAACTCAAACTTGTGGAGAACATGTTTCCTGCCTACCAGAATTACACTGAATTGTATGATAAAAACAAGCTGCTTACCAGCAAGGTATCTGCATAAAAACTTTCACAGCATAGCTTAGATTTATCCATGTAGAGAACATGATGGTTAACTGTACTTACCTGAAAAGTTCGTATTGGTTTGTCAAGGTCAGTGACACCCAGGGGAGAATGAATTGATTTTATGTTCTCTGTTGCACAGGTGTTGGTCAAGATATTGGAACTTCAGACAAGCCCACACTTTTCCTAAGCATTTTAGGGGAGATGCATAATAAAGCTGTTTTATGCTCCCTGATCCATTTTCCAAGGGCTCCAAAGAGAACTGGGGGGTAGTGGGATCAGGAGGAGACTGTGTAAAGTTGGTATTGTAGGAGCTGGTAATTATTGGGCAGTACCCAGTTATCCTTGTATTACAATGTTTTTGCACACTGGTTTTGCCTGAAGGTTTGTTCTGTGGTGTTATGGTAGGACCAACTTCATTTTTTTGGTAGTTTCCTTCAGAGAAGCAGCTTGTCCTGTTGTGTTCTGTGTATGAACCTCACATACAGACAGGTATACTTTACTGTTCTGACTATCCAAAAGGACTCTCATCTCATTAGCTGATTTTTACCAAGTATTCAGAGGCACAGTGACCTGAAGGGTTGAAATTCATTAAAGCTTTATGCTGGTGAGATAAGTGTAAGCAGATCTGATACCAGCCCACACTAAGTACAGGTTGGAGTGGCAGGGCATGCCTTATTAGGTAGCGGAGAGCTGACACAAGAGTGAATACGAACCACATAACTACAGTCAGAGTGCTTAAACATCAGTCAAATTGATTTAAGATTTTAGGAGAGAATTTCAGGGGCACAAAGGGCAGCTGGGAACTCCTTGGGAATTGGCTATTGAACTCCCATTTCTGCCTTAGAAAACATACCTCAGTGAATTACTTATTTACAGTCCTTATTACCTGAGAAATCCATATGGACTACTTAAATACGTACACAGTATTAACTTTTGTTCTCTCGCACAGTCTGATGTACACTGATTTCCTGCGTCGGTGTACTAAAGAGAATATTAGTGCTGCAAAAACATAGGTCTTAATTCTGCCAGACTTACATGCACAGCACCAAAAACGGTCACTGAAAATCAGTTACTGGTGCTTTCTGGAGCCAGGCTTCTGTTTGTTTGGGGAAGCATTCTATTAAACACAAGCAAAACAAAACTAAAGACATTCGCCCCTCCACAACCACCGAAACCACAACACCAATTTATTTTTTTTTTTTTAAATGTTTTAAAAGTGTGTTTTTCAGAGCTGTGGCTGAAATAGTCTCTTCTTTTTAGAAAGAAGTACAGATCAGAGGAGATATGTTTCAGCAGCTACCATATGTATGTTCTTAACTTAAGACGTGGCTATTCTCATTCCATTTCCAGTTGCATTTGAGCTTGATGAGTAGAGACGGCAAGGGTAGAGTACTATTAGGAGATGCTCAGTCGAAACAGTCCCTGTGCTATTCTCATTTTTATCAGGAGATTGCAAGGCCTAACAGAGCTCTTACTCTTCTCTCTGAGTGGGCATTTGGCATTATGAGGTAATCCCAAGTAGATTTGTCTGGGAATAATTGGTTTATGTCCTATTAAATGGTATTATCCTATACTATGTTTTGTGTATACTGCTTGTGAACTTATTTTTAAAGTGAGCTATGTGGACCAAGAAAGAAAAATAATTAATCAGTTGCCTAACAAATCAGATTATTTTAATTAAAGAATTTTCCATATATGTATATGTATATTTATATTGATATCTGTTGCAAACCTTCCTTACAATGGGAAACATGCTAAGAGTACATATGTCTTCTATTGTATCTGATGTACCCCTAGCCCCCGTACCTAATCTCTGTGTTAGCTATGAAATATAAATCATAAGATTACTACAGTGCTAGGGCAACCGGGGCATTCTTGCTTTTGTCCCTTGAAGCTCTCAGGTCACAGCAGTTACTGTAAGAGTCAGCACCTTATCTTCTTACATTGATAAATGAAAAAAAGCTGTGTGAGGGATATGCCAGACATACTGAAATTAATGAGGGTTTCTCCCCTGTTGATTTCAAGACCTTCGTTCAAGAAGTGCATTAATTTCCCTTGACGGTAACAGGTGTCCTTTTGGGTGTTACAAGCAGTGCAGCAAAAATCACGGCACTGAAGTAAATGCAATATTGAGTAAATTGGTGATTTTGTTTTTCTTTAGACAGTGATGGCTCATGCCTGTTATCTTTCTGAAGAAGAGCTGAAACTTTTCAGTCTTCGTGGAGCTGCAATTTCACATTGTCCCAATTCTAATTTTTCGTAAGTTAAAAAAAAAAAAAAGAAGAAGAATGTACAGTTAAATAAAGCTGTTGTTCACATAGTCTGTCCTATCAATGGCAGATTCAGGCCATCTCCCTTCCCCCCCCAAAGTTTGTATATGTTTTAGGGAAATGGGAAGGGGCTATATAGTCATCTTTCTATTAAGCAGCAATGAGATACTGCATGGTATGCAGCCAGGATACTGTACTAAATGTTAACAGTCATTTTGCCTTTAACATAATCAATATCTTGTTTGTGATGACTTACTGGAGCTCATGAAATGACCTCACATTCTCCTGGAATAGACTTTACATTGTATTTTGACTTTTTTCACAGGTATACTGAGAGCTCGTTTTCAGCAGATAACAATAAAACTATGGGAATTTTGAATTGAGAAAAACTGCCTTTATTTTTAGTGATTAAACCCCATCTTTCAGATGTATGAATGCAAATGCTCCATTCCAGTTTAATAAACCCAATCTATTGCACACATTCTGAGAGCCTTTGTCATGAAACAGCTCTGCAGCCCTACTTGTCATGTAGGGCTTTCTCTGCATGTATCACACAGAACAGGTTTCTTCTTCCAATCCAGGTTGCGCAGCGGTGTCTTGAATGTGCAGAAGGTCCTGAAACACAACGTGAAGCTTGGCCTTGGCACAGGTTAGTATTTTGCTGTAAAGATGGTTTCTTTTGGAAACCATTGGGCGATACAAAAATATGCCTGCTTGTTCATATTTAAAAGTCAGCATGTCTCCAATTTTCCAGAGTCATAAAGTATTTTGGGTTAGGAAGGGCCCCCTAGAGGTCATCTAGTCCAACCCCCCTGCAGTGAGCAGGGACACCACTAACTAGATCAGGTTGCTCAATTTATGGACCTGCTTTTTTTTCCCACTACTTCTAGAGTAATGAAATCTAAAGCTGGTCAAAAAGTGTTTAAAAAGAAAACAAAAATGAATGAAGAAACTTTTGTTCCTGTTATGAGAGCAAACACTGTTTGAACAACAACTTTTCAGATTGCTGTTATTCTGTGTTGTGTTTTGTTTTCTGACTTTGTACGTGAGAGTAACTTTATTAGGAATTATACATTCAGAGACAGCGCTTAACAGTAAAACTTTTTTGTTTACCACATCTTCCACTTTGTAACATTTAATTAAAGCTCATAGAAATTCAACCCAGAAAATTATACCCAAAACTTGTTTCTAAGAGTCTGATCCTTTCTAGATGTTGCCGGTGGATATTCAGCTTCTATGCTTGATGCCATCAGGAAAACGATGATAGCATCTAATAGCCTTCAGATCAATAAAGTGAACGAAACAGGACTAACTCTTGGAGAAGCTTTTCAACTGGCAACTCTAGGAGGAAGTCAAGGTAAGAAGAAATTTCTATAGGATGGACACAGAGAATTACAGCTCTTTTTGATATTATGTCTGCCTGTCTTTAAAAGATGGCTGAATTCACAGATTTTCTGGTGCCAGGGTGAAGTCTAAAATGGTATCTGCTGGGCGGATGTATCCTTCAGTATCTCGTATCCCTACTAGGCTCATTACAGAAGATTATTCATACTGATGTTGAGAGTTTAATAATAGAATCTTAATGATTTTTCAGGGTTGTACATTTTCTTTTCAAAGATCCGCAGACTTAATCATTAGCGATTGTATGTTTATCACACCAATTGGAAAGACTTTGTTTTCTCAGAAACCAACACTTAGAGGAAAAGCTGTGCAATTACTATAAAATGATGCATCCTGTTTGTCATCAGTTTCTAATTTTGTTTCTGCTTTTTGAGCTCTCGGTGAGGCAGTTTGTCACTGTCTTTCCAGCAAATCAAAACATCATGCAAATCACTCCTCAGTCAGAGAGAAGCACAAAGTTTAAACAGGATATGCACCATGGTTGTTTAAGACACAGTTGCATCTGCAGAATATAGTCATATAGTGTATCAGTTATTCTGGTTCACTGGCAAGTTTTGTCATGATCAGTATGCACATACTGATTTATACAATTAGCAAAGTTTTAGCAGAACTTGTATGATTTAGCAGAGAGCAAACCCACACTTAAGTAAAAAAATATTACTATTTCAGTTACCAGAAATGTGCTTGCTACTGCTAAAGAATTGATCTCGAGTCTTTTCAGTGTTTAATTTTTGCAGTTCTCAGAAAACACCATTGGGAACTATTAATAGAAGCTTGAAAGATGTAATGAAAATGTCAGACCAAAATGTGAGACCAAACAGGTCTTCTCAGGACTATATTTGAATTTCTGGAGGGTGTAATGGGGAAATACAGTAGACAAAAAATGGGCAGGGGACAAAAAAGGAGAGATCTTTTTCCCACAGTTTATACTGTTCTCATAAAAGGTGAGAATAAATTAGCTGATATATGAAAAAGAAAACTTGTAAAAATCTCGAACTTACTTCCCTTCCCAGCTACTCTTGTGCTTGTTTTATCTGGGTTCTTCGGTTTACTTAGTAATGCGTTTGTTTTATATATTTATTGTGACCTGGTTTGTCCTTACTGAATTGCTTGCAGGGGTAGAATATAAACTACTTGTACAGTAGGCTGACAAGTACAGCCTGCAAAGATTTAAATGACCAATTCCTTGTTGCAATAGTTTGCTTTGCTGAGACTCCTAAACACTTGTTACCCTCTGGTGTTTAATCTAAATATTGCATTCTGCTCACAACCTTGGAGGAGTATGAGAACATCTTAGCTGAAACTAGTAGGTAGTCAAAATATTTCACCATTTGGAGGAGTTCAAACATCTTTAAGGTATTGCAAAGTTCCTGCCACACATAGACTTCACTGAAGGCTAAAGTTGATTTGTTGGACAGGAGCAATCTCAAAACAAGTGAACAAGGTATTTGCAGATATTATCCCCTTTGATAACTTAGTTTAACTACAAAGTATTGGAAAAGTTGATTTAATACACAGATACTTTGTACAACTTTAAAACTATCCTAAATCATTTCCAAGGAGACACAGAGGCCTCTCTTAGGTATTCTAAGCACTTGCAAGCACCCAGTCACTGAAGAAACTGCAGATTTTCAGTGCTCATGGATCTGAGAACCAGAGGTTGTAACGAGGCTGTGAAACAACAAAGCTAAATAATAGACCACAAGACAAGCCTTGCATACAAGGGTATGAGACCTTCAGATCTGGCTATAATTTTTGTTTTCCACACCATATTGTTCTCTGTTCCTGCTAATTACCCTTAGTTATACTCTCTGCACACCTTTTTTATTGTCATATTATTATATGTTGCTGTTGTAATAGGCCTATACAACCTGTCAACGTTGCTTAAACTGTTTAAAAAATTAAATCTAATACTGCCTTAGCAAGGTGAGTATTATTACATACTTTACTGTTTCTCTGACTTTGTTCCATTGCCCTTTTTGGAGCTTTAACGTTTTTGCAATGTAAACGCTTGTTATTCCGATTTAGACAGTTAGTGGCCTATACATCAGATCTGCAATGACACAAAATCAATGGAGAACATTCAAAGAAGAAGACTCAGAAGAGGGTTCAAATTGTTTTTCAGGTTTCTCTTACCCTTAACAGATGCCCTTCAGAAATTCATCAAAATATTCGTGTTTTTACTGAGAAGTTGCTTAAGAACTCAGATGCTAACATACTCACAGTTGAATTTGCATTCATGTTTTTCCTTTCAATCATCTACGTTTTCGTAGTTTTTCTTATGAACATCTCAAGTAAGCTGCCAGGTGCTACCACATGGTGGAAAGATGCTTGCACTGAAGATCTGTTTGTGAGCTTATTTTCTTCCTCAGCTCTAGGACTAGATGACGTGATTGGAAACTTCGAGGTTGGCAAAGAATTTGATGCACTGCTAATCAACACAAAGGCTTCAGACAGCCCTTTTGACTTGTTCTCTGCTGATAGTTTTGAGGTAATTGGAACAGGATTAATGATTTAAAAAAAGTACTGGAAATGCCGTGGGGAAGGTCTGTCATACAGCCAGAATAAGTCTCTTGAGAGTTCTTCCAGTAACAGGAATTGGGTGTATTATACCACTGCTGCCTGTATTTCTGCCCAAGAGGTTTAGTGGTTGGGTTGTTTTGGGGTTTTTTTGGAATCTTGCTGACCTCAGTGACAGTCCCACATCCCCATGAGCAAAAACGTGTGTAACATTTTTTAATGCATGTTTTATTAGCCCGAGCTGACAATTAGAGTTAGCTATTTGCTGTGACAAATGGCAGCAAAGAAAAAGCAATTTGGTTTTAGTGAACACTTTGAGTTCAAACTCAGAAATGGCAGTCTGTTCCCAGGTAAAGGCTAGGTTGCCTTGACTGCACTGCTATGGTAAATTTAAGCAAGAACTCAAGCTGGCCAATTTGAGTTGAAAGCACAGTTTTCATGCAAACATATAAGCAGTACTGGCATTATGCAATGGGCACACCTTGTCATACAAAAACCTTTTATGATCAAAAAAGGTAATGAGCAACTGTTACTTGAATTTACTCATGTGACCGGACTGTCTATCACCTTCTCTATTCTTGGTGTCACCATTTACTTAGAAATGCAGGCATAAGTGGTGAGATAATTGTTGCTTAATCTGTTCCACATGCAATAATCTGGATTAGATCAAATTCTTTAAATTTTAAATCTTCTTCCTAATTCAAACAGTTCTGGAAAAAAAATATTTTCCAGTTTAAGTCTAAAACTTTTTAGCTAAGTTAGCGGTACTGAGGACTTTAAAAATACTTACAGTTTTGTCTTATTTTTCAATAAGTAAGTGAATTTGAAAACTCTGAAAAAGAGGAAGAAAAAATATTGTGGTTTAAGCATATATTTGTTTACACTGTCAAACTTGTGCAGTGTTTTCTTCCTGAGACATACAGCGTCCTTAGTGAGAGTTATTTATGGGAAAATGTGCAAATTAAGTTTTTATTTTACTAATAGTAGGAATATTTGGGAAAGTGTTTTGAACAATTCTTTCAAGCTTCAAATAATTATGATCTGGGATAACAGATACTGCTTTCTGAATTTGGTTTTCTCCCATTTTTTTATAGGACACTCTCCAGAAGTTCCTGTATCTAGGTATGGTCTGATTCTCAGCCCACATAGAATTCTTTCTATTGTTATTTCATACATCAAAAATTGCCTAAATTAATGTGGACATTAATAATAAATTTGTTTATACTTAATTAAACATACATTTGTTTACAGTAACTAAATATATTTATTTACATTGTATATAAACATTCATATGTCACTATTATATTTTTATCTACATTAAATATACATTTACTTACATTTATTAATATTTATGTATAAATACTGAGCAAGAATTAAGTGGTTTAACTTTTGTTCTTTGGGATGTAGTTAGTCAGTTTAACACGATCAAATACATCAAGTTTGTCAGATTTATTACCACACTTATATTTATCTACCATATGAGCTAAATCATATTTCACGGTAAAGTAACACTGACATGCTAATCACCAGTTCAGCTCAGGACTTCTGCAGACCAGTTTCCATTGTGTTTTTTTTACTCCCAAACAAAAAAGATGGCCTTTAAAACAAACGAAGCCCAACCCAAACAACCCCACCCCCCTAAGAGAATAGATGTTCTTTATAGGGCATTGCCTGGACCAAGAGCTGTGCTGCCCACCATGTTGTTATGTAGAGGTGACTGGTGTTTGCTCTGGCCACATTTCTGTCATTCTCCAGTTATGCTTTTGCATTTTTTAAGAAGCTGGCTGAGGCAAACCAGCTTTACTGCTGCCTGGTACCTGAGTTAGTTCAGATACCGTGCAACAACGCGTTTTCTCTACAGATGTAAAATATTTTCAGGGTTTGAATCTACGAAATATATAGAAAACCCATGACACAATTGCAGCAGCTGAATGCTATGTTTATTTCTTAAAAAAAGCATGGGAGGTTTAAACATCCATTGATCTTTGTGGTAGCCCTGACTATTTCTCTCCAAACAAACTTTCTCAGTCCTAGGAAACGGTCGCTCCAAATGATGTGTTCCAAAACTGATTTTGTGGGTTGTATAATGTTTATTAATTAAATAAGTGCATGGATTAATGTGCAAATCTCTGTTTTGACCATGTTATTTCAGGTGATGATCGGAATATTTCTGAAGTATATGTGGCTGGAAAGCAAGTGGTTCCTTTTTCAAGCTCAGTATAAATCCATTTCCCTCTTGCAAAATACGCTGCTGATCATTCTGCATCTGATTTGGAAAAGATTGGTTAAACACAGTGCCTGATCATCAGGAATGACACCTCATTTTTGTTTAATGTTTTAAAACTTGCAAACATTAGAACTTTTGTTAGACCTTTCAAGAATTACTTTACCAAAATTGTCATAGTTCTAGAGGAAGCAGTTATTTAAATTTCTCTGTAAAAATAGCATGTGTGCATTGATAAGGGATTTGGTAAATACCTTAATTAAGGAGGACACCTGCTGTTCCTTTTAATAATAGTGTAGGAAACATTACGAAGAGCAATGAGACTCTCATGGTGTATAATGCGTCTGAATTTTAAAAAAAAAAAAGCCAGTGCTAGTAAATTGATTTTGCAGATAATGAGTATTATGGCAGAATGTAATTTCCATAATATTATCACCAAGTATGGAAATATCAGTGACATTTGGGGCATTGAGAACATTTTTCAGGTTTTTTTAGGAGCTTATTTTTTTTTAATAATTATTTCATTTAAAACATTATTTTTTTTAAGAGAAATTACGTAACAAGTGTGTATTTATAAATAAGTAAGGGTCCTGATTATCAAAGAGTTCAGATTTGTCATTCTTAGTCAGACAGAAGAGAACTGGTGGAAGAACCAAATAAGAAACGGGGCATTAGTCACAGGGGGACGGGCTGGGAGAGCGGAAGGGCTGCATTGTTCTGGGATGCTGTCAGCTGTATCTGCATTTCTGCAGATTTTTGTTCCTAAGCCTAGACGTGGTCAGCCTGATCTTCCACCCACTCCACTGAATTACCTTCAGCTGAGTGACAGCTGAATGAAACGTGTTAAATTAGAAGCAGGCACTAAGGCATTGGAGCAGCCTGCTACTTGATAGCAAACAAACGGAGATATTTTGCGGGACTAGAGGGAGTACTTCGTCTAGTTTAGCCCTTCCCTAGTTCATTTGCTGCTGACTGTTCAGACAGGATGATACAAAGTCCCTTCTCCTTTCTGTAAGGGAAGTGAGTGAGTTTAAAAAAAAGAATTCCAAGAGAAACGGGCTATTTCTGGCGATTACCACCTTTGACTTGAGGTGGAAATCATCACTGGAAAAAGTAGCTCTGCTTTAATATGCTCTTTTCTGTCTTTCAATGTGGCAACCATAATTCCAGCTCTGTACAATTCCAGGTAAAATATGTGACCTTTTTGTTTTGGAAATCTGTGCAACTTCCTTTCTTAAAAAGCATATCTCCCTACTTTTTATCAGAGACTTTTTTTCTTATTTTTTGCACTAGTAGTTTGAGGAGGGGGTTGCTTCTTGTTTCTTTATTATGTTTTTGCCACACAAAGGATGTAAGCTTTAATTTCAGTGTCAATAGAGACAATATGGTATTGAGTTACTATAAACATGTGTTGAATGTGGTTTTAAGGCCTGCTTCAAACTCCTTTGATTTCAGTAAGCTTTGTTTCACACTTTTGTCTCACTGCCTTGGGGATATAAAGGCACAGGACCTCCCTCTGTTCAGAAAGCAAGGGAGGTCACTGCACCAAATTCTCACTTCATGCCTCCTTCTGAGAGAGTGCGTGGCCCAATGTCACTGATAACTTTCTGATTTTACAAGTATTTTCAGAGCTTACGTACTGTTATGGTTACGCCTATGTGAGACGGTATAGTGTCAAGTGGAAGTGTAAAAGCTAGCTTAGGCACTTAATGCAGTACAGTCTTTTCACTGTGGTTTTTTGTCATTGTTTTTCTTCCGAAGCCGAGTAGCCCTAGTGGACAGCAGGGGATATTGGCTTGCAGACACCACCCAACTGCAGCTGCACAGCTTGCTCACTGAGAGCTACCTCGGGTACCTTCACAGGGCACTGCGCTGTGCCGTGTGTGCTCACGGAGGCACAGCCTTCATATCCATTATGTTCAGTGGTAAGGCTTTAGGAGTCCAGACTTAAGTGTTAAGATACCCACATTCCACCAGGGAGTTTTCTTAACTGTTTTGTTTCTCGTATGTCCCAATCACCTACGCAGTAGCACACTTGCTTGGCAAATACAATCTTCAGCTCTTTAACTTGGTTTCCTGATTCAGGGAGCATTTTTCCTCATGAATTTTGACATGAATTTAATTGACCAAATTTCACATTCCAAAACCAAAGATCTGTGAGACACATGTTTTAATCCTCCCAATTACTGTTTGAAACTATTTTTAGGTAGTTGCGTAGTTTTCAGCTTTGGCTTTCATGCAAGAATGTTTTCTGGGGTGGAGAAAGATTACACAGCCTTGTGTACAATGTGTGTTTGTGCCCTACTTCTTCGCTTCCAGAGCTATCAACGCTTTTATTTTAGTGGTAGTTTCAACTGTCTCTGACTTCATTGTTTTCCCTCCACTTTGTAGTGTTGTTAAGAATGGGATTCAGCATTTGTTCCTGAAAGAATTGTGGGGAGGAAGGGTTGCTTATTTGCAAACTGGGAATACAGAAAAACTTTAACAAGTTCAATGTGATACTGCTGGCCCGGTTACAAAGGGGTTCCCTAGGATAACTGCTGCCAGTGAGCTTTGTGGCTGAATGTTGGCTGCATCACAAGCAGTTTGATTCTTGTTAAATTCAGGCTCAAGGTAGGAACTTGGCCTTTTGATTATAACTTTACTAGTGCCTAGTACCCAGGAGCTACCCAAACTTAGAAACAGAGAATCAACTTTCTAACAATTTTGGCTGGAGGAGGAGCTCTGCCTGCAGGTAGTGCCATGGTCTGCCTGCACCACCCTGCAATGCCCAAGGCCTGGAGGGGCGAGGACCAAGATGGTTAGCATTACACTAAATGCCAAGGTGCTTAGGGGTAAAGGAATTTGATGTGAGAGGAAGCCAGTGGAGGAATTAATGTAACAAATAAACTGGGCAGTACTTTCAACAGCAGAATCTTAAGTAGAATTGAATGGAGAAAGACTGTAATGACAGGAAAAAAAAAAAAGTTGAAGTGGGGTCCTCTGAGGTAGTCCCAAAAGCTTCTTCAGTGGAAGATGGCTTACACACAGAAATGTTAAGGTTTTAGGAGACACAGAGGATGTAGTAGCCAAACTTCTCTGAAGCAGTTTTGGGAAAGTCACTGAGGATCCCACTGTGAAGTTTTGGTCCTTGGGACTCTCTGGATATGTGTAGATTGCCAAGGTACTTGGTGCGGTAGGGGAGGATCAGTAGGTGAAAGCTGTTACTGCTGAGACTCGTACATCAATACCATAGCCTAATAGTCTGTTTCCTTAGACAAATCTCCCCACTGCATATGCAGTTTAAAGTAGGCCAGATACTTAGTTCAGACACTTAAGTGTCTCTTCCAGAAGCTGGAGTATATTTGGCATGTAGCTGGGCCTACGGTATAGTTTCCTCCGAAATAAAATTAATCCTCATGTACCAAAACTGCTCTGCAAACTGAGCCAAGGTTCAATAGGGGCAGATGATTGGGAATTCACTTCAGAACAGCACTACTGTCTCAAACCAAAATCCTAGTGGAGGCTAGGGCTTGGACTATTCCCCCTCCATCCTCATAGTCACAGAACTTAGTAGCTGAAGACAAATCAAAGGAACCTCCTTCCCTCTTAGAATCACAGAATCTTCCTCCCTCTTCCAAAAAAAAAAAAACCCAAACCCAACCAAAAAACCAAGCACAGAAAAACCAACCAAAAAAAGTAAAAATCAGGCAACCAAACACTAAGGGGAGATGAGTAAGTGGAAGAAAAGAAAGGGATAATTTTCAGTCAGTATAAATTGACACAGTGCTACTGACTTAAGATCAAACCTCTGGAAAAATGTACAAGCAACTGTTTCCAGATGTCGCTCCTCATTAGTTGCCTTGCCAGACTGTGGACGGGATCTCTGTTTCTCAATATGTCTTTGTGTTCAATGTTAGCACACCATTCAGACAAAGGAAAAAAAGGGTAGTTTGTGGAAAGCTTGCTTGTTGGGACAATATGCTTAATGTGTTTTATGTTCAGACAAGCACTTATTTTTTATAAATGGAATGTATTTGAATTACTGTTATATGTCAATCTTGTGTCACTTTAGGTTTTGATTATTAATGAAATGCTAGTAAGTATCGCCTATGCATTATGCAACATTATTTGAATTATTCTTGTGTGGCAAGTGGAGTTCTGCACTTTAAGATGTTGCCTTGGCCTAATGTTTATATTTGTTCTGTGTTTTTTGTGCAATCAGGAAGCTTTGTAGGGGAAAAAAGAATGTGTATTTTTTCACTGTACTGAACATTTTCAGTATTGTAAGTGGAATTCCTGTTAGAAAAAGAAACGTTAGAGTGACTCTGCTTAAAAGTCTGTGCCTGATTATACACTCATGAATGAAAAAATTGTAATGGTTTTATGAAAGCCAACATCCATAGTAATTTTTTACTTTAAATATATTTAACAGATAAATAGATTTTTTAATTTTAGTTGTGATTATGCAATGCAGACTAGCAAAAGTTAATAATTCTTGCTAAATATCTACTGTCCTACTGAGCAAATGAGAATGCAACTATTCTTGATTACACATTTAAAAACAATACGCAAGTCTTGACAAATAAAAACCCTAAGTAGTTTCAAAGAATATCCCAGTTTTACAAGCAAAAGATATTAACAACCTTGCTCAGATAAGCTGTTTAAAAATATTGTTTTAAGTGTTTCCAGGAACAATCCGTAACAGGTGATAAGGCGGACAGCTTTTAAAATACTGGATTTGTATGAATAAATGGTGCTGTCTTATCTGCAGCCCTGTGTGTCAGCAGTGGTCAACTTGCCTCTAAAATGATAGTGTACAAATAGAAAGTATTTAAAAAAAAAGAAAGCCAAGGTATTTTGAAAATTTGAGAAAGGACTGGGAAAATAAAATGAATTTGAGAACAGATTTGAAAAGGGTGGTGGCAGAATACAAAATGAGGCAAAGTAGATAGAAGCTAGATCAGAGGAACTCATAAAAACAAGATGACATGTCAGTGAAGTTTTAGCTGGGAAACACTCAGAAAAGAAGACGTTTTCAGGCAATGTTCTGTTAGATCACA